AGAAGCATGCCCACAATCCTGGTAAAAATCCATGAGCTTCTTTGTTGTTGTCTAATGGTGCTGGCACTGACATTGCCTCTCTCACTTTTGCTGTTTGTTTTGTAGTTTCCTATCACAAAGATTAAACCGACTCCTCCAAAGAAATTCCCAGTAAAACTTCATAAATGGACATGCGAGGAAGATAAAGCATTCATTGAATTCATATCTGTTGCAGATAATCATGCGAATGATTGCAATTGAAGAGGTTTACCATTTATGTAATACCTCTAGATTGTTTTAATACATCATTAAGCTCATATACTATTCATGTGTACTGGTGAAATGAATGTAATGTAACATTTTAAAAACTTCTCTTTATTTGTGCACATAAAATTTTTTTTAAAAACCATTTTAATTATCTTTAAGTACAGTAATATTATGTTAACATTTTTTCGATTTTAAAATAAATAAATTTTATAAACATCAATTATGTAGTGTGTGATCTTTTTATTAATTTGTGATGAGCAAGAGAAGACTATACACTGAAAATCGTGAATACCATACATACCATAAACCTCCGAATATAAGCCCCCCCCCCCCGTGTATAAGCCCCCCTTGTGTAAGCCCATCAAAAATCACTTACGAAAGAATATAAGCCCAGTGCTTATAGTTGGAGGTTTACGGTAGATTGTCAAAAAACTGCAGAACTGATAAGATGGTGTCCATGGGATACAATACTTATGGTATAATGGGTCATTCCAGAAAACATCCATACCACCCCCACAGAGGAAATAGGAAGTTAACCCCCCTACCCCCTTCGGATGTCCTAATACATTTACTATTATCAGAAACAAATTTTTCTCCCCCCTCCGGACGGCAGAACTTTCCTCCGTGGGGGGAGTATGGATCTTTTCTGGAACGACCCAATCAGGGAAGTGACGAAAACACACGCAGTACAGGAAAACCGGGGTAGGGCCAAGACTGTACCACTACGGGTTCCCCAGCTCTATCCTTACAAAAAAAGAAATGTCAGTATTACACCAGACACCAATATACAATTTTGCAGCTTCTGCTAAACATTTTGTCTCAATGTTTTTTAACCCATTGAGTATTGGAGTGTCAGTACTCTCCCCCTGATGAGTAAATAGTCTAGTGTTAGACAGTAAAATAATCAGGCGTTAGGCAGAGTAAAATAATAGACAACTAGTTGATCATTTAAGCATAGATAACTAGTTGATCAGTATAAATCCTTGCAATGCATCACACAGTAGTCAATACATTTATATATAGTGTCATGATAGTGCTGAATCGCCTCCATTTCATTCTCTACAATGCTATCACTGGGTGCTTCTTTCATCATTTGGTGTGTATGAATATGTGTCAGGGCAAACAGGATTTATTGGTAAATTAAAACAGCTACAATCACTTGGCTGATGTAATTCTATTGGTGGAAGTACACTATCCAACTCATCATCTTGACTATTTGGGATGTTGGTGATGTTGAAATGTCAAACTCCCAACAACATAATATTGTTATATTCTTCGTTCATACCTCCTTCCCGTGGATCATTAGGGTCGAAGAAATACATGATATGAAATAAAAATACGTTTTTAATAATGCTGCTGTATTTTTAATACAACATAGGAGGATTTTTCTATTTTTATTTAATATAAAAATCATCTCACCTTAAAAACACAACTAGAATGAATTTGTACCAGTGCAGGACTACCGCAATCAGCGAACAAATTCATCAATTTTTATCCCGTTAACCACAGCTGGACAAAGGACATAGAACTATAAACATGAACCTCACGACATTCAAGTTCATCACACGGTAATCCTTGCGAAATTAAGATTAAAGTTAAAGGCTGTTTTGACACACAGTGAACACACCTCAGAACACACAGAAGCTCGTGTCCACCCAAAAACGAAGCTTTCTTTCCATGCATAGTGCAAAAATTCACCATTTTACAATTTTTTTCTATAAATCTTTTCTGAACTCTTGAAACCTCGAAGTGTAAACACAGCGAAAGCCGACCGAACAATGACGGCGCAGAGCGAGAAATCGATATGTAAAAAACCGCGCCTGACCGCGTTGCATGCCGGTATAGTCCTCACTCCTCCTCTGATATTCTAGGTAGTTTGTCTGACGTTAAGTCTCAAATCTGGTCTCAATCTTTAAATGGTATACCAAATTGGCAAATTCTGATTACCAAAATCTGATTACGAAAATCTGATTACGAAAATATAGCGAATAGCAGCATAAGTAAAATAGATAATATAAATATAATATAAAATAATCAATATAAAATTGTCAATTTAAAATAGTCAATATTAAAATCCGGCTGACATAACTTATATATATTATATAACTTATTACTTATAATAATTAGTCGCCAGTTGGTCGGTATGCTGGGATTAAAATGGCTTTAAAAGTAAAACCTTCAAAATAAAATATTATCAAAATAAGGAGAAAAGTGAGACGAATCCACTGGTATAAGGCCGAAAAAGCGAAAACCGACGATACCAAAGTTTTCAAGGATCAAACGTACTGCAGTACTATAAATTAGTTTGATAATTTTGTAAACAATTTATTGTCAACAATACAATTTCGCTTATTAAAACTGCGCTTTAACACCTTCAAAATAAAATATTTTGGACTCAAAATACTATCAAAATAAAGAAAAAGTGAGACAAATCCACTGGTATACGGCCGAAAACGAGGAAACCAACGATACCAAAGTTAATAGCAAGGATCAAACGTACTGCATTTTTAATTAGTTTGATTTGAGCGATTTCTCAAATGTAAACAATACAATTTAGCTTGACTTTCCAAGGCCATAAATCGCTAGAATAATGTTGTTTAGTTAATACATTTGACATCCCTAAGAACAATAGTTTTCGCTGAATTGAACAGTGGTATTTTTGTCCTTAGTGGACGCATACAAGCAGAGATAACGCGCAGCAAAAAGTCAATCGTCACCGTAATATCAAATCCAGACATGGAAGTTCATCCAAAAGCACGATGTTTGCAAGCGTTGTGAAAACAGCCAATCACGAAGCATTCTAAACCGGTCTGACCGGTTCGACCGGTTTCAGGCGCGCAAAGCAGGCTGGAGGAAAGCGGAAGAAATTGTTGATTCTGTGGTTGATAGCAATAACTCACAAATACTCCTACGGAGTATCCGTGAGTCAAAAAGCAGAGCCCAGCAAATAACTTTCAAACCAAACATAATAAAACTAAAAAATTTAATAGCTAATGTAACGTTTCGTTGTTTACAATACAACATCTTGAGAGCAATCTAAATGAATTTACAGGATATGCTATATATATTTACAAAATAATGGTTTAATATTACAAAAACGGTTCATATAGTTTGAAAGAACAAATTAATAGAAAGCAAGGAAAGAAAGGAAAACAACTTATCAGTAAATAGTAAAGATTAATGGCGTTAAGTGGATGGTTAGTATACATGTAGTTAAGATTAATATTACATACCTAAAATAACTCGAGAGGGGCAGATTTTAGATTGCTCTGAAGATGTTGTATTGTAAATAACGAAACGTTTGCCATTAAATTTTTTACTTTTATTACGTTTGGTTTTAAAGTTATTTGCTGGGCTCTGTTTTTTATCATTAAATTGAAATCTATTTAACAAAGATTACATTTAACCAATGTCTGTTCAGTTATAGAAACACAGTATGACGTCATATGTGGTAAGAACAAAAAAGTGTCCACGAGCCGTCTAGGCGAGTGGTCACTTTATGTTCTTACCACATATGACGTCATACTGTCTATCTATAACTGAACAGACAACAGGAAAATGTAATCTATTTGTTTTATATGATAAAATTGAAAAAATTCCCATATTAAACAGGTAAACAGTTTATTTTTATTCCCCAAACTTTTGGAAGTCGAAATTTTGCAAATACCAGTAAAACAGTTTATCGGAAAAAGCAGTTTATAGTTTAATATAAAATGAACATTTCAAAACATTTTAGGAAGCGATTCAGGTTAAATTTTACATTAAATCATCGCTCACAAAATGCAGAACAACATCCCTACAGTACATATTTCGGAAATTCATTGTTATATACTAGTTAAAAGCAATAATCTTTCAACTATTTTTGCCGTGTTGTGCAAAAAATATAATAAAAATTAAATTTATCGTGTTGCCATGGCAACACGGATGAAACGCGAGCCTGCGTTCAGTGTTGATCAATTACTAATACTTCATGTTAAATCAATGTTTGGAAAATATATGCGAGGGGTTGCTGCATGCATGTATTTCTAGTTTATATCAAGTAACTGTACTTCTCTGGTGGCACTAAACCTTTTCCCTAAAAAAATCTTGGGGGCAACTGTGACCAACTCTGCAGTTTGGCCTGTGCAAGACAGGTGGTGCACAACTCAAACTGCTAGTTACTGTATCCCAGGGTGTTAGCCAGGATTTCAAAAGTGGCCGTCCAAAATAATTTTGTGGGCATGGTCACATTTCTTGGGCGTGGCCGCAATTTTTTGTTGTTGTGGAATTGTGGTGTTCTATTCGTAGAACCTTTTTACTTTTATATGCACATTTCCGTCATTAAATTAGTAAAAGCACACATATATGGTATGAACCATATGATCACTATGATGTACAGTATATCCTAGAATGAAGAACGCAATACAGCAGTGTAGTGCTTAGTTATGTTTTTATAAATCGCCGATATTTTCCCCCTTTTTATGCGTTTGGCTTATTTTATAGCCATCGTTAGTATTTTCTCTTTACCGTAACTGCAACTCTAAAGCAGGTGGCGCTCGAGCGATAAAGCGACGGCTGGTTTTTAAAACAGCGGTTTCAAATTGTTCTCGTTCTCCTTAATACTTCATGCGAGAATCATCAACATGGTTACAAAAACATGTCGCGTTTGTCCATACTTCAATTCAGCCATATTCAACGTGTTTTCGATGGGAAAAAGTATGAAAACAAATATCATAAGTAAAGTAAACAGCAGATGACAACAATTCGAAGTATTCAAGAAATATTACAAAGCTTGTAAATTGCTATTTAAAGAAAATATTCCCTTAGGCCGTCCATTAAAATTTAGCCGTCCGACCGTCCTACGGACGGCTACTTCTGAATTCGGACGCCTGGCTAACACCCTGCTGCATCCTGTGTAATCACAGGTGGCCCAATCTTGCAAGGGTCAGTATAGACTTCTTGCACGGGTCAGTATAAAACTATGTCATAAAATATAAATTTTAAAATGAAAGTGACTTCCCTATTTGATAGTGTGTGTTCTCCTTTTATTCCTCTTTTGTTGGACAAAAATTTTCCAAGATTTTGCACTTGATGGTACTAGACAGTATACATACTACACGATAAGGGCAAACGATTTACAATCGTCAATCCGTCTGCACGGCACTTCGAATCGAAAATTCTCCCACTCAAATTCTTTAATATTCTCCAAACAAATTTGCCAGCATGTAGAACAGATGCCGTTCTTCGAAAATATGGAGATATACTTTGGCAAGATGTACAAGTTTTGGACCATATTTTAACAATGGAAATCAAAATCCATTTTATCCCCCCTGTGAATCCCAACAGTTTTAGGAGGCCTGGTTTCCCAGGCATTCGCGGTAATAATCGTACAGTAGGTCTTTGTAAGTTCAATATAAAATGGGTTTTGATTTCCATTGTTATTTAAAATATGTTCAAAGTTCCTTGTACCGGTACCGTACATGCTGGCAAATGTTTTTGGAGAATAAAGCAATTTGAGTTGGAGAATTTTCGATTCGAAGTGCCGTGTAGACGGATCGACGATTGTAAATCATTTGCCTTTATCATGAAGTACAGTATGTACTGTATAGTACCATCGAGTGCAAATGGAAAATAGTAGTCCAACTGCCTCGTCCCCAGGCGCTAATAAAAAAATTTCATGCGAGTCACTATATGAAAGGTTTACATGAAGTAGTGCGTGACATTCTAGGCGCGCAAAGGGGAGTGGGATATGAGTGTTCTGGTTAGCGCCTGGCCGATCTTGTATAAATAGCTGTCGAACATACAAGTAAACAACAGATCTAAATATAAATCCCTTCATGTATATCACCAGAAAGAAATAAAGCTATCCTTACCTGAATTATTCAAAATATTGTCGATCGTTTGCATCGTGAAAATCAAACATACTGCATGTAAATAAGCTCGTAACTGAAATCCTGTGACGAATCACTAAGACAGTTTAACATGCACTGCTCTTTCCTTTGCTCATGTGGCCGATTTTTAGGTAGAATTGCCACTTTTGGTTTCATTTTGATGCAGTTTCGGCATCCCCCTAAATTCTTTTGCGCCTCCTAAATTCCATGACCCCCCCCCCAGCCAGCAATGCCACTGACCTTCATATACATAGGTATTCAATACTCAGATAAATAAAATAAATAAACAAATGTTCAAAACTGACCATGGACAGAAAATTCATCCTCTCTTCTCCCAACATTCTTGGTGGGCTTCCTGCGATTTCGTCTTTTCTTCGATCTCTTCCTGAATTTACCCTCCATTGCATTTGTCTTTATAACTCCCCACCACTAAATTTCGTTTTCTTTACCAACTAATGCAGATCTTAGCTTTGAATTAAGAAAGAATAGTTTCAGTTCTAATCATTGAAATATGGTTGTTTGTATTGGAGTTCGAATCATTTAATTTATTGAAGGTCAGTGTGGACGGTTTTCATTTCCCATACTTCATGTAAAACTCATTATACGTTCGGCTCAACACTGATCTATGAATGAAACTGGATTGAATGTTTGGTTGATATAAATGCCATCTTGTGCATTCGAGATATGAGTTATATAAAGAAAACAAGACACAAATTATGGCATGGTGGTGATATTTCGACTCAATTTCAGTCATTTTCAAACTGAACTATCAGGAAAAATAGGAAGATGACGTAATCAACTGGAAACAGAACAAAGAGGCCGCTTTGTTATATAGTTAGACTAGTTAGTGTCAAAGTTCAATTTTCTGTTTGCCGATTGGTCAAAACCATATCACGTGCCGGTCCGCAAAATGTCAAGTTCGGCAAGCGGTCCGCAATGAAAGATTTATTGACCGGTCAATAATAAAATGGGTGCAATACGCATGCATATCATCCATGAAGTTCCAAAGTTAATTTTTTAAACTTTTTATTAAACATTTACGACGTTCCATTTATCCCGTTTTGGGTTTCAAATTAAGTTCACTCCAATAACCGGTGAATTATTCATACTTTGACACTTATAACATACCATATAACAAAACACTTATTTACTGAGACCCTTCGACCGCCGAGGGGTCTCAGTAAATAAGTGTTTGTTGATGTCTATTTTTCAAATCCCACTCGTTGCACTGATCGGCTATAATTGGTGTAGTTTATCGATCACCAAACCAAAATTTATCTTTATTTTTGGATAAGTTTAATGAAATTCTTTCTACCATTTCAAAAAACAACAAGCACTGTTACATAATGGGAGATTATAACATAGATATGTACTGCTTAAACGCGCATTCCGCAACTAATGAATTTGTCGAAAATCTGTTTTCCCATATGTACTTGCCTTTAATAAGTATGCCGACGCGCATCACAGCACATTCGGCAACGCTTATTGACAATATTTTTACCAACCATTTGACACAAAATTTATTCAGTGGAATTATTATTAATGACCTGTCGGATCATTTACCGGTCTTTGTTTATGTCTTTACAGAAACTCCTCCCCCTCGCAAAAGTGCTGAAAAGACCATATTTAGGGACTTTAGCGATAGCAATATTACCAAATTTCGTTCACATCTTACTAATGTCACTTGGGAAAATCTCCCTAATCAAGATGTAGACAGTGCTTTCGATGCTTTTCAGTATGCATTTTCTAGATTATATGATCTTAGCTTTCCTTCTAAATCAGAGCAAAAAACTCGAACAAACCATTAGGCCAAATAAAAAAAATTACTTGGTTAGCGTCACACTCTCACAAATTTTCAGAGGCGGGCGGGCGGTTTTTTTTTAATTTTTACTCAATTTTTTATTTTTTAATAGTATTTTTTTTTTTTGGGGGGGGGGGCGGTTTACCCCCTCCACTGAAAACGTTTCCTCATATTTCAATATAAACCAATGTACAAATCTAACAATATCAATTATATATATTAATACTATATATTACTATATATTAAATTTTAATATACTGTATACATCATGTTGGCAAGTTTTGAATGTTGGCTTGCATTTTTCATTTCACAAACCGCTTGCCCCTCTTCTGCACCTTCTTCTGTCCATCACAGTCTGCACACTGCGGATAGTATTCATCCAGCAAATGCAGCTCCTCTGTAGATCCACATTGGATGCAAATGTTTTCATATCCTGCCGAGTAGTACGTCAGTTCGATGAGAGTGTTACATGTTAAGTTGATCCGGGCATAAACATCACCCAGTGGATCGCCGTCACCCATATCCATGTTTGACAGATTTGCTCCGCAACTATACAGCGTTGTCTCTAACAGCACCTCCAGTTCTCGTCTTGCTTTTGTGTGTAGCTTTCTTTTGGAATGCAAGCATCGCCACTTACCACACTCCTCACATTGAATAACCACACCAACATTTTTGGCCGTTTGGGCAGATGGATTGAAGGGACATCCATGGCCTTTGGGCGCAGCATCCTTCATAGAAGGTCTGTAGTTTTCTGTTGTCTTCTGTTAAACAAACAAAACATCTTTCTGTTTATTTATTAACTGCATAAATGTATTCTTTTTGTATAATATATACTGTTCAAATTTAAGTCCAGATCAACTCAGTTATTAAATTTGTATAAGTAAGAAAATCAAAGCTTACCTTTCCATAAAGCTCATCAAATGGTTGATATTTATCACCAACAGGCATAGGATCTGGCAGGTGGTAAATTTGATTGAAGACATCAAGTGGAAGTCTAAGAGGCTTGCATACACCACACTTTGAAGAAGTACACTTCAATATGGAAAACATGTAGTGCCTGACTCGACAGTGACTGGCAATAAATTCATGTAACAGCTTTTGATTCTTCAGATGCTTCTGCGTTTTCATTTCTGGTGTTAAGGAGCCATCAACCTTTAAGGGAATTGGAAAATATTAGTCGATTGAGAAGTAAAATGTGATACCGGTACCCTATCACAACACCAGCTCCAAAGTGAACGTGAACCAGAGAATAAAGCCAGGAACAGAGATGCCTACGGAAGGGGCTAAATCGATATTTAGATGTGAGAGTTTGGTTCAATATTTTGCGCACCTAAAAATGCATCAAATCGCTAAAATGCCATGGGCTATACAGTATATATATTGACAAAGAAACATTTTACTAATACATTTAGAATGTTCCTCCATAATTCAGCTATCTCTTCATCATCTGCAGGATTAAACGTCTGGAAAGTCTGGTCCTTCAGCTTGAGCCGCTCCATAACATGCCGCAGTAACTCAGTGCAAGGCTTTACAGACTCCAGCACCTCGTCCTTTAGCGCAGGGATCTTTTCTGCCATTTTTCTGATAGCCTTCAACCCACCACATTGAATCAACTTGCTTTCGTTTGACACTGCTTTCTCTCGCATTATACCAATACCTTGAAGACCAATATTAATTATCGACATGATGCGCTCAACAGGATTCTTCCAACTATGCTTTGGTGGAGTTCTGACAGCACAGAGGAAGTCCAAATCTAAGTCGAGCCATAGACAAATCAGTGACAACTGAACTGAGAGGTAAGTAAGTCGATGGTCTGGGCCCCCATCAGTATAAGCCAAAAGAATTGGCTTGTTGATCTTCATGCTGGTCATTTCCCCTTTAAGTTCGGCCATGTGTCTCATCGGTGAAGATGGTTGGAATGAGTTTTCTTTAAACGATACACAAACTTGACCCGTGTAGAATGATTCATCAATGTGATCAGGAACCTGGATAAAAAGATTGACACTCGGAGTCATACTTATCCTGGTGAAATCGTGATCTGCAACAACAAGCTTCGTCCCTATGGCAACAAGAACTTGCTTGCCACGCTCCACTGCCGCAACAGGACAATTAGGTTCACCAACTTTGATGGTATGTTTGTCGTCCATGCTGGCAAACACAAGATGTTCCTTAAATTTGATGCTGAACTCCTTTTCGTAACGAAATAGCGCAGAAGCGTAGTGAGCATCAACATGCTCAGCTCTGAACTGTCGCGCCTGGACCATGAACTTTAGCTTCAACTTCCCTGTGTAACGAGCAGCCAGGCGCGGATCCAGACCGTGGCAAAAGTGGCTCGAGCCACGGTCAGATTTTTCCCACCTAGGATTTTCCGGGGTTCACCTTTGTTGGATACTACATTAGACTGCATTACGCATTTTTAAGAAGTATATATTAGTTATTTGAAATACAG